GGAGGGGGGGCTGGAAGCTCCCCCACCTGGGGTGGGAAGGCACACCTGGCTCTGTTTCTCTCTGTCTCTCCAACAAACCAAAACTCAGCCTCAGGCCCCAACAGGGGAGACAGCCATAGGTGGGCGACACCAGGTGCTGCCTAGGGGCCCATGTGACTCGGATGTTGGGGACAGAAAGGCCCTGCTGGGAGTACAGTGATCCAGGCTCTTGACCCGGAGCAGCCAGTGTGCCTCACAGTGTGTCCTTTCCTCTCCGCAGTGGACGGACGGCCCGCCCCCCGTGCAGTTCCAGGCCCAAAACGGACCCAACGCCAGCCTGGCCAGTCTCCTGTGAGGCCCGGGGGCTACCCAGCTCCTCCGGGCCAGGCCCCACACGTCTCTGATTTCCACCCCGGAGGCCCCTGAGTCTTCCTTGGAGGCAAGGTCTGAGGCCTGAGAGCCTGTGACACTTTCTGCCCTCCTGGGAGGGGGCAGCCGCTGTTCCTGCCCCAGGACCCCCGATGCTGAGGCTCGAGGTGGGATGCTGGGGCCAGCTTTCCAGAGCCATCCTGTCAAGTGGACCTCAGCTGCCAGTCTCACCTCCACGTCAGAGTCACGCCTGCCGGGAGTGTGGCCAGGCGCGTGGGTGTGCGCGTGTGCAGTCGCACGTGTGTGGTGGGACCTCTGTGTTTGTGCCAGCCAGCCTCCCCCACCGTGTGGCTGCTGAAGGGCAGGAAGGGGAAGGAGGGTCTCCTCACCCCACTGTAACACCAGCACCTCAGCCTACCTGAGACCCGGGAGCAAGGGCTCCTCTCCCTGGCAGCCCTGCAGCTTTCGATGGGGTGGCCACAGGCCGGTCACCGGTGGGGACTGTCCCAAGAGGGCCCACCATCTCTGGTCACTGAGGAAAGCCTGACCAGGCCTGGGCTGTCCCCTCAGCTGACACCCCCAGGCCCATGAGGCCAGTAGAAGAGTGTGTGACGCAGGCCCACAAGCTGTCCCTGTCCTGTCTTCCTGCCGAGCCGTGCCCTTTGCCGGCTCCATTTTGAAGGAGCCCCCAGGTCCTCCCACCCTGCCCTGAGATGGCAACCTGGTATCTCCAGGATCTGCTCCTGCTGGCATGGCCCCCATGCTGTCCAGCCTCTGCAGACCCACAGGGCTTCTGTCGCAGTGTGTGTGGTGTTCGTCTCTGCCTATTTATTTAATCCTGTCTTTGCTTCTAGGGCATTTTGTATGTAGAGCAGTTGAAAAAGGACCTCAGCGCTTACTGTCTGTCCTAGTGTTAAAGTCCTAGTGACCACCGTTGTCTGTGGATGTGTAAAGTTGGAAGAGGTCTGAAGTTTACAATTAGACATTCAGTACTCAGCGTTTCCTATTCTGTTCCAGCTGTGTAGAAGCCAAATCGTGTGTGTGTGCATGCGTGCACATGAGCTTTGAACCCCCTTCACGGCAGCATCCTCTGATGATGCAAAGCTTTCAACGAATCCCTTCTCGTGAGTCTCACAGTGTCTCACTCAATCACAAGAACGGGAGGCAGGTAGCAAGCCCCCAGGGAGACATCACACAGTGTCCTGTAGCCAAGTGTTTGGCAAAGTCCAGAGACTCTACACCAGTGGTTGAGGACCAAGGGGCAGCAGAAAGCAATTCCACTGGCAGGTAAATGGCTGAAAGCTGGCCAGACCCTCGTGGGCACCTCCCTCCCTGACCTGCAGCTTGAGGGCCGGCCGGATGGCGGGATGCAAGGCAGCCACGTCCCCTGGCAGACATACAGCCCAGGTCTGGTCCCTGCAGTTGCCGTGGGTCAGGCCAGTCCTCTCCCTGGGGCGAGCACCCCCAGCCCCGTTTACCAGAAACACAGGCAGGGAAATCAGCTGCCACCCTGTGAGGCAGCTGCTTTGTTGATTGTGTTGTTTTGTTAAGGATTTTTTAATGAGTACGTTTGCCATGTCTTTAAATGGGTTTGTAATATCTTAGCAGTTTTAGCTGTCTGTAACTTATCAGCTGGTGCTTTTAATGAGGAAAAAATAAACTGTAAATACAAAGCTGTTTAAAAGACATAACTATAGCACATAGCTTCCCGTTTGTGCATTTCTTTTCCTATATATTCAAAGTAAAAATAACTTACAGGAGCTGCTTGCCGTGTCCTTGTCATTTCATCTAGCCCCCCGGGAGCCATCCAGAGATGGCTACCATATTTCCCTGCCCAATCAGTGGGGGCCCCTCCACGCGGTGGGCTGTGAGGGCCTCAGCTAACAAGGCATGACGACACAGCTCTGTCCTGACTCCATGGCCCAATAGAAGCCTGAGTCTTCGTCTCCTTCATTGATGATGTGACAAAGGTCCAGACCAACCTGATGGGAGGAAGCCCCCTGCCCCAGAGCACACCAGGCCCAAAGCTACCTGCCTCCTCCCACTGACGGGCTGGCCCGCACACCTGCCCCTCTTGGCGGTCTGTGTTCCTAGAGGGAACCAGCCTCTGCATCTCTGGGGGGCTGGTTTTGTTTCCTAGCTTATTGTTATTTTCTTTTTCTTTTTCTTTTTTTTGAGTTGGAGTCTTACTCTGTCGCCTAGACTATAGTGCAGTGGCCGCTCCCGGCCACCGCAGCCTCGACCTGCTGGGGCTCCGGCGATCCTTCTGCCTCAGCCTTCCGAGTAGCTGGA